ATATGAGGTCTCACTATGTTGCCCAGACTAGTCTCGTTGAACTCCTGGCCTCAAGCAATCCTACAGCCTTGGCCTCCCAAAGTGATGGAATGACAAGCATGAGCCACTATGCCCAGCCCTTCCAACTAATTTTGGTACCAAATTATCCAATAGGGTGCCTAATAATAGCATATTATAGAAATTAAGTATAGCAATAATCTCTGGGAGAGCCAGAGAGCCAGGCTCTAAAGCTACAACCAGTAATAATGCTCAATTATAACAAAAGTTTTGTTTTCTAACAAAAACACCACTTTCCAGCTGGGCGCAGCGGCATGTATCTGTAGTCCCCAGCTAGTAGGAAGGCTGAGGCAGGAGGGATTGCTTGAGCCTAGGAGTTCAAGGCCAACCTGGGCAACACAGCCAAGACCTCACCTCTTAAAAAGAAACAAAAAAACCCAAAAATATCACTACTTCCATTGCTGCTTAGACTTGGATACCAGAAGCCCTTCCAATGCTGCCCCTGAGGAAGTGAATGCCTCCACCACCAGGATTGCCAGATCAGTCCTTCTGCTCAGCATATTCACATTGCTTCCCTCTAAATGCACATCTTAGGTCATAGGCCTGCACCCAAGCTGCCAATAGACTGGGAATAATGACTCTCATGATTTCATTGAAAAGATGGAACCCCTTTTGTGGGAAATTATCAAAATATGAGAAGTATATCTGAGATGTTTGTTGAACAGTCATAAGTGATAACTGTCCACTACTCACATTATCTTTACCATCTTAACATCATACATTTTACATAGATGCTTACGTACAATTATAATTAATTGCCCATCGCTACTTCCTAATTATACTTACTGAACGGGCACACTTTTTGGGGGGACTGCTAGAAAGTCCATCCAGCTGCCCATGTTCACCCAGAAATCCTGTCACTTGGTCCAAGAAAGAAGATACATCTAATTGGTGCCACTCTACTAGCTTCTGACCTAAAGATTAAAACAAGGATATATAAACATAATAAAATCTATATTCTTTCTGAACATTCTCATTATTTCTTTCAGCATATGCATAATTAAAATTTACTATGAACACATATCCCCATACCTTACCAGCTTAAGTAACATATTATCTTTATAACCTAGAGGATTTACATTAATTATAAACCATCTAACAGATTCCCACCCATCATGATAGGATAACTACCTTATCTGCTGAAAACACTTATTGCTATATTTAGGAAGAAGAGATTCAGACAAAACATTATCTATATAAAATGCAGTCAATTAATAATAAAACCAGTTCCGCCTCCTCCTGCTTCTCTGGTGGGATTACAACCAGTACCTGAACAATCTTAATTTTAATGATAGAAAACCTAAGGGGAATCCCTTATAAAATGTTAAGATGAACATAACAGATATCCTTTGAAAGAACAGAACTGCACAAATATAATACGTCCATCTTCCAAAGTTGCCAGAAAAAGATTTCATAAATACGCACATCAACAGATATTTAAATAATTACAAAGAGAATAAACAAGAAACCTTCATCTAAATTATTACAATTCTGAAACCAGAACCAGTCAAATATTAAAGACCAATCATTTAGGTAAATGAAAGTTCAATGATAGGTTAAAGGCTGTAAGCTGATAAAAAATCTTACCTGTCCGTGGGTCCAATATGGAAACATAGGGGAAATCCCCTAGTTTATAAAACTGTATATATCTCTGACCTTCTTCACTGTCATGATAAACCTGTTAAATCATTGATTAAAAAAAAGTCAGCCTCTAAAAAAAAAACCCAACTATAACACTGTCATACATCAAAAATAATTAATTCTCCAAATATACCTTTGGTATGTGAGTCAGGATCTCACTCCTATGCAAAAGAGAAAATGAAGGTCATCTGGTATAAACACTTTCAAGTTCTTGCCCTCAACTCCTATCTGGAAACTTATAATAAACAATTTCTACTCCTTTCCCAGTTTAAAAGAGGTATTGCTGGCTGGGCGTGGTGGCTCATGCCTGTAATCCTAGCACTCTGGGAGGCCAAGGCAGGAGGGTCGTTCAAGGTCAGGAGTTCAAGACCACCCTGAGCAAGAGCTGAGATTCCGTCTCTAGTAAAAATAGAAAGAAATTAGCTGGACAACTAAAAATATATAGAAAAAATTAGCCAGGCATGGTGGCGCATGCCTGTAGTCCCAGCTACTCGGGAGGCTGAGGCAGAAGGATTGCTTGAGCCCTGGAGTTTGAGGTTGCTGTGAGCTAGGATGACGCCATGGCACTCTAGCCCGGGCAACAGAATAAGACTCTGTCTCAAAAAAAAAAGAGGTATTGCTCTTCTATCAGTTCACTATGTCATTCCTGACTCTCAATCATATATATCTTAAAAATCAAAATATATTAAGATTATAAGCTCAAGTGCCCTAGCAAAGTGCCAGCTAGGCAAAAAGATAGTCAATCGGTATTTGTTTTTTTCCATATGGGAGTAACAAAGTCAAGCTAAAATCTAAGACTTAGCCAAATGTTTTCAATTACTCCAAGATCTTCTCTACCTGCACTTTCCAATACAGTAACCACTAGCCACATGGGGCTATTAAAGCACTTAAAATGTGGCTAGTCCAAACTGAGATGTGCTATAAGTGTAAAATACACACCATGTCTTGAAGCAGCAAACCATCTCATTAATATTTTTATCTTAGTTATATGATGGCTATACTGATTCAAACAAAATATATTACTAAAATTAATTTCACCAATTTCTTTTAATCTTTTTTAATGTGGCTACTAGAAAAATTTAAATTACATATGTGGCATACATTATATTTCTATTGAACAGTACAGTTGTATACTCATTCTATCAACACATTTAAACTCTTCTGGGATATGAATATTATATGGTTTATATGGCTTGGGTTTTTTTTTTTCCTCCCTTGGGAGTTCATAATTGCTACTCTTTCACTTGACTTTACTATTTCAGCCTTTATGGGTAGTTTTACTTTTTTGTATGTCATAATTTAATTCAGTTATTAATTTTTCTCCAGTTTATAACCCAGTTTCTCCTCCTAACACATACTACAAAAGGAAAATGCCATAAAAATTGTTATTAACTCTCCTTCTCACCTGCCAGAAAATGAAATGTTCCCGGATAATATTCTTCACAGCTTCATTACTCCATACATCACGGTTGAGGCACTGGCATGCAAAGTCTTGTACATTTTGAATGTTTATCATCAGCCACTTATTCTGCATCTGGCCACATTCTTTGGCCTATTAGAGTAAAGTTATACAACATTCATTAGAAATAATTTCTACTTGGTGACTGATATGTTTCAGGTTCAAAAGTTGTCTTCTTTCCATATAAATACTAAGTTTTTTCTCAGGTATGACACTGAAGTTTTCAATATTTACACATTCCTTAAATTTCCTTTGCATAGGCATATATAATAACATTATTCATTCTCAAACATTTCTCAATCTAAATTAACTGTTTTCTCTTTTATCAACTGTTATTTGTTAGAATGGCTGAATTTTTAATGTATATGTTTAAACATCTTTATCTGAAAAGGAGTCCACAAACTTAAGATCAACAAGTCATATAATTCTACTCTCTTCCAATTCTTATCAATGAGTATACCTCTCCCTTTTAATGCATGTAACTGGTGTGTACATATTACTTTGTGTTGTTTTATTTTCTTCATTTCTGTAGCATTTCCAAATATTATATTCATTTCAATTAGGCATGTGCTACTTTGTAGAATCACCCTAAATATTTTAGTAAAAACTGCTAAGAGTTTTTTCTCCTAGAGTTGTTTTCCTAGGAATACAATTCCAAAAATGGGATTATAGGATTAAAGAATGAGAATGATCTCCAAACTATTCCCCAATTTATAGCAGAAATATCAATACACCAATCATGACTGTGTAATTTTTGCCTCTCAGTCCTTCATCATCATAAAGACCTATGAAATGTTGTTGAACAGAAAAAGAATGGAAGAAAAGCAAATGGAGCAAATGCTACCTCAAATCTTTGCATAGGAACAATGACATGAAAGCCATAGTTTTAAATAAATTTGTCCTGGAACAATATTCTTTTCCATATCACTTTGGCATGTAATAATAACAATCGAAGAACATACTGGACCATCATTTTGTGAGTACTAAGAATATCTTCTGTTTCAAGAAGGTTTATATAATCTTACGAATACTGTCATCCTTTTTGTATAAATTCTCCATAATAAATTATTTTCTAATATTCACTTACTGATTCCACAGGTGAAAACCCAAGTCCTAAAAGAAGGAATAGTCTGTATTCAGCCAGGAAGCTATATTGAACTGGTCAAAAGCTTAAAGTATACAAATACAATAAAATAATTCTTTGCTCCTAAGAAGTAATATTTCCATTTCCATTTCATATCTATAGGACATAGGTTTAATAAATGGATGATAAATGAATAATTAAACTGCCTTAACTAAAGAAAAAGTATTTGAGAATAAACAAAAAAAAATGAACATACAGCAGTAATAGTAAAAAGGAAAAAAAATGAACAAACATTATAGAGACAGACTGGAGAGCACATATCCTTATCACAAGGTAAATTTATGTTAAGTCTATTCCAACAACACTGATAAGAAAATAAACCATATAAAACTTAAAATGAATAAAAGCCCAGAGTATAAAAATGATGAAGAATCATTTGCTGTTTTTTTTAATATTTATTTATTCACATTCATGCTTTCATTAATTCTGACTCATTCACTCAACAAATACTTATTACCTACTGTGTTTTAGATACAGTTATAGATATGCTGAAGTCATAGCAGGTAACAAAACACAAAAATCCCTGCCCTCAGGAAGCTTACAGTGGGGAGAAACTTATACCAACAAAAGAAACTTAGAAATGGTGCTATCAGGGCCAGGCGTGGGGGCTCACACCTGTAATCCTAGCACTCTGGGAGGCCAGGTGGGAGGATCATTTGAGCTCAGGAGTTCAAGACCAGCCTGAGCAAGAGCGAGACCCCATCTCTACTAAAAAAAAAAAAAAATAAATAAATAAATAAAAATAGAAAATTGAAAGAAATGATCTGGACAACTAAAAATATATATATAGAAAAAATTAGCCGGGCATGGTGGCGCATGCCTGTAGTCCCAGCTACTCGGGAGGCTGAGGCAGAAGGATTGCTTGAGCCCTGGAGTTTGAGGTTGCTGTGAGCTAGGATGACGCCATGGCACTCTAGCCCGGGCAACAGAGTATGACTATCTCAAAAAAAAAAAAAAAAAAACCCATAAGAAATGGTGCTATCCATAATGAGGACACTGTTGAGAAATTACTGCTAGAAAGAAAGGTCCAAAGACAACATGACTTTCAGACAAAGCAGCAATATTTGGAAGGAATAAAAGAGTCTTGAATTAAAGTCTAGAGATCTAATGAACAGCATGAGGACTATAGTTAATAATATTGTACTGTATATTGAAAATGTGCTGAGAGTAGATTTTAGGTGCGCTTACCACACACACAAAAAAGATAACTATGAAAGGTGATGGATAGGTTAATTTGCTTTTGCTTCACCGTACTAATCATTTCACTATGTACATTCAAACTATCACATTGTACATCTTAAAGATATATCATAAAAAAAGGAAGAGTCCTACCCAATCTCACTAAATATACCATTTATGAGAGTCAAGTTCTGGAGATGAGCATGGACTATGGAACAAATAAGGAATCTATTAGGTTGCTCTGAAATCAACATTTCCAAGCCATTATATGGAGACTCAAGGGCAAAGCAGTAGGAGACTAACACCTCTCCCAGTCCCAGCCTGATCCAGAAAGCATGAAATATAAGGATTAGAGAAAAAAATGATATGTTTCAGTAAATATATATGCAAAGAATAAAGTCAAAAAGGAACTATATTAAAATATGCATAGTACTTTTTTATGGAAATTATAATTTTATTATTTTTCCTTACTAGTTTTCTAATTTTTCCATAATTTTTGTCTAAATTGAATAAAACTAAATATAAGCTATACATAAAGTTTAGTTAGAAAAACTTTATATATATAGTTATTGAATAGGCTCTTTACATTTTCAGCTAAATGTTTTTACTTGCATAAATACTTTTGAAATTCACAAAGCAGTCAGTAATTAGAGCGGAGTGTACATATAATTGAATAGCAACTTAAAAAATAAATATTTCTTCTTATGAAATAAGAAAGAACCCTTGAACATGATCTACCTCTAGTTATACTAGTTTCTAAACCTGTAAAACTGTAGCTCAGATTTACATCTAATGAAGGGAGCAAAACTATGGGCCCTCCCTGAGCAGCCAGAGTGTATCCCTTTAATTTTTAGTACTATGTCTCTAAACTTTGAAGACCTAATTTTGCGTATTACCTTCCTAAATTTTTTAAAACTAATGGATATATCATTAATCATAATGAAATGCCTACATTTTGGGGAAGTGTTTATATTATTAATACTTAAGACTTGGCCAGGCATGGTAGCTCACACCTATCATCTCAGCACTTTAGGAGGCTGAGGCAGGAGGATCACTTGAAGCCAGGAGTTCAAGACCAGCCCGGGCAACACAGTAAGACCGCATCTCTGCAAAAGATTAGGGAGGCATCGTGCATGTGCCTGTAGTCCCAGCTGACTGGGAGGCTGAGGTGGGAGGATAGGTTACGCCCAGGAGTTCGAGGATGCAGTGAGCTATGATCAGGCCACTGCACTCTAGCCTGGACAGCAGAACGAGATCTTGTCTCTGAAAAAAAAACAAAAAGACTTGTAGATCAGAAGTCCCCACCCTTTTTGGCACCAGATTGGTTTCATGGAAGACAATTTTTCCACGAACCAGGAGTAGGGGGATGGGAGAGGGTGGTGCAGAGCTTAAGCAGTTTCCTAACAGGCCACCAACCAGTAATGGGCCGAGGCCTGAGGGTCGGGGAGCACAGCTGTAGATAGTTTAGCATTAATCAGTGGAAAAAGACAAATAGATTGTTGTAACAATACAGGCAATGAAATAAGAAGAAAAAAGGTGATATAACTTAAAATTCAGAGAACAATATCTAAAGAGATTCATACTGAAGAGGCAGAAGAGTACCTGCTTTTTATGCATCAAGAGACCGAATTAAATCAAGCTCAGTTACTTCATTAAGACTTAAAAGCAGGGTGCAGTAGCTGAATGCCTATAATCCCAGCATTCTAGGAGGCCAAGGTGGGAGGATTGCTTGAGCTCAGGAGTTTGAGACCAGCTTGAGCAAGAGCGAGACCTCATCTCTACCACAAATAGAAAAAATTAACCAGGTAGTGGTGTTCGCCTGTAGTCCCACCTACTCACAAGGCTGAGGCAGGAGGATTGCTCCAGCCCAGGAGTTTGAGGTTGCAGTGAACTATGATGACATCACTGCATTCTACCCAGGGTGACAGAGTGAGATTCCGTCCCAAAATTAATCAATTGATTAATTAAAAAAGACTTAGAGCAACTCAGAAGCTAATAAATATAGAAAACATGTCAAAAACTCAGATCCTTTTTGCCTTTCATACTGCTACTGTTATCACTCAATGGCTGTATTTCTAGCATCACTAGAATGCTAGAAAGGTTAGGCAGTTGCCACTGTAAGGCCATGAGGGAAAAATGAAAAAAACTGAGGACGACATTTAACCTGACATATCTTTGAGCTGATGAATAAACACAAATGATTCCCTCAACTTCAGGCTTAGTATATGACAAAAATAAACCCTTATTCAGTCAAACCATAATCATGTGGGTTTTGTTACATGCAGCCAAACACCTTCAGATTTTACAATTCAGAAGACTAAAACTGGAGGGCAAGCTTACAGTTAAATTGCTTATCCGAAATATTTTATTTATGCCAATGTAAGAGCATTTCAAAGGACAAACTTTTTAAGAACTTAACAATTCATTTTCAAGTATGTAGTTAATATATATCACTTTTGTAGTTCTCTGGCCTACTTTATCCTTACAGATAAGAATTCCCTGAAATGTAATTGATTCACATCTATGGAAATGCTACTGTGATTCAAAGGAGTGTTAACAAGCTAGCTAACACACAAAAGCAAACTGTTTGAACACTTCAACAGAAGATTATCTAAAAATCTTAACTAGGGGCCGGGCGTGGTGGCTCGTGTGGTGGCTCACAGCCGTAATCCTAGCACTCTGGGAGGCAGAGGTGGAAGGATCACTTGAGCTCAGGAGTTTGAGACCAGCCTGAGCAAAAGCATGACCTTCTCTCTACTAAAAATAGAAAAATCAGCCAGGGGACATGGCGCGTGCCTATAGTCCCAGCTGCTCAGAAGGCCGAGGCAGGAGGATATCACTTGAGCCCAGGAGTTTGAGGTTGCAGTGAGCTATCATGATGCCGCAGCACTCTACCCAGGGTTACAGAGCAAGACTCTGTCTCAAAACAAAACAAAATAAAACAAAATCTTAATTAAACTCATTCATTTCACAAATACTATGTTCCTCTTAAATGCCAGAGACTGGGTCCCAAGGATTATCAAAATAATAAAACCACATTCCCCCTGCCCTCATTAAGCTTATATGTTAGCAACAATCAAGTAAACCTACTCTCTAAAGTTTTTCTTTGGGTTTGGCCAAGATAAAACCAAGAAGAACTGAAACTACAGAGATATTCTTTTAAAACACACTAGGATCCCCACAGAAATATAGGCAAAAGATACCTACAAACGATTCATAAATGGCTAATAATCCACACACATTATTCTCAGTAGTAGTTACAGAAAGATTTCTTTTGAAGTTATCAAAATGGCAAAAATTCTAAAAGGATTACCACAAGACTAATAAAAGGATTTCACCAAACAAGCAATCTCATATACTACTGGTATAAATATATTTCACATAAGTTAGGGTATACTTTAAAATAACTAAAAGAGTGGAACTGGAATGCTCCTAACACAAAGAAATGATAAATGCCTGAGGTGATGGAGGCCCCAATTACCCCGATTTGATTAATTCACATTGTATGTCTGTATAAAACCATCACATGTACCCTACAAAGATACACAACTATGTACCCATAATTAAAAATTTTAAAAATTTAAGAAATATACTTCATATATTGCTGGTAGAAAAATTCAATGTAACCTTTACGTATATCATATAGAAATACTAACACGCAATTCCCCATGTACTAAAAAATTTTTTTTGCCTTAAACAGATAAAAAATGGCACTGAAAATGCAAGAGAATTCATAGTTGAGGCATGGACTCTGCAACAACTTACTGTTTCAAAGCTGCCTTTATGCATCAGGTCAATGGGTGGCCGGAATAGATCTGCAAGGGTAGTTAGTTTCTTATCTATTGCTCCTCCATTTCTTAATTCCTGTTCTTGTCGAACTGTAACACAGGAGAATGAAATCGTTTTAATTAGCCATAAAAGTCATGAATCTCATTTAAAAAAAAAAAACAAAAACCTTGTATCAACTGAAAGAATTACTGAGAAATACGCTTGAACGCAAATTCAAAGATCTAGCACTGACTCTGAAAAAAAACAAAATACAAAAGGGGTTAAGGAAGGAATCTTAAGGCTTGGTGAGGCCGGGCGCGGTGGCTCATGCCTGTAATCCTAGCACTCTGGGAGGCCGAGGCGGGTGGATTGTTTGAGCTCAGGAGTTCGAAACCAGCCTGAGCAAGA